TCGTTGATGGTTTGCATCTTGACCTTTGATACCGGTTCGGCTTGAAACCAGGATAAAGGAACTGATCCGAAGCTGATAGACACCGCATTCGCCCCTACTTTCTTCTCTTTCGGCTTTAGCGTCACGATGCCAACATCGATTAAGGTCTGTATTTTGTCTTTCAAGACATAACAAGCCTTAGTGGGATGGTGGACCCTCCTGTGATAGGCACAATACTTCGGGTCATTGGTCTTCGTTGCTTCTTCTTGGTTTGTGACCGGTGGAAGCTTGATCTTGTTATTCTCCAACAAGTATTTGAAGATGACTGGAACTTCATCATCTTTGAAAGAGTATTCTTTCGGGAATCTGGGCTCAGAAGGCTTAAATTGCTTCGGAGGCTGTTGATTCTGATTTGGTGCCAACTGGAAGGACGATTGCTGCGGTTGTTGTTGTGGCGGCTGTTGTGACGTTTGATGTGCGTCCACAGCGGCTGCGGACCCTCTTCCTCTACCTCGAGGGTTAAAATTTTGTTTCTGATTATTACCCGGTGGCTGACCTCTCTCGAAATTCCTTCTCTTGAGAAAGCGTTCAGCTTGCTCACCTCTCACATTCAATTCTTTCCAAGTTTTAGAGGGATCAACCCCCATTACCTCTAACACATCCAATGACAAGTTGTGACAAGTCTGTAGGATGAACTCTTCTGTGAGTGGATCGCGGCAGTTTACTGCTTTGTTCCGGAACCGTTTGACGAAGACATCAACCGACTCCCCGTTTATCTGCTTCTCGTCCAACAACGTGCCAATAGAGACCTCCGTATCGTCGTCGAAGAAATTGGTGAGGAACAGTCCTTCCATATCTTCCCAGCTAGTGATACTCCCAGGTTTAAGGTGTCGGTACTAATCGAAGGCAGGCCCGCGAAGGGTTCCTACGACCATCAGAGCTTCGTTCCCGGATATTGCGCCGAGATGCGACTTGAAATAGATCAAGTGCTGAGTGGGTGAACCCCTGCCATCAAAAGGAGTAAAGTTAATCAAATTAAATTTTGGGGGATAAGGAATCAAGTCCCACTCCCTCGGGTACGGGTATGGAATGCCCATTTTCTTCACTTCTTGGGTCGTCATCAGAGCGTTAACTTTGCTCTCGAGATCATGCATCTTCTTATCCTCTTCCTCGCTCTTCTTCAACTCTCGAGATCATGCATCTTCTTATCCTCTTCCTCGCTCTTCTTCAAGTAAACTTGCGGAGGTTGAGTGGATGACTTGGTCGGACCGCTTCCAGTATTGTCTTTATCTGGAGGAGGATCATCGAAGATAGTCTCATCTTCTTCATTACGCCGGCTGGATTCTGCTCTTTGGCTTGATTTCGGTTGATGTTCGAAGATAGTCTCATCTTCTTCATTACGCCGGCTGGATTCTGCTCTTTGGCTTGATTTCGGTTGATGTTGTTGAACCTGCAAATCTCGCATCTGCTGCATAGTCAATTCCATCTCGGTTTTGAATTCAGCTCTAATTTCCTCGCGTTGTTTAGCCAACGCTTCCTGCAATATGTGTGCCAGTTGATCCGGCGTAATTGCGAATGATTCTCTGACTCGCCCTACACTGGATGTGGTACTGTCTGAAGCTACAGCAGAACAAGTGTCTGACAGTTCTTCATCCGAAGATAATCCTTCGTGCATCCTTTTGTAGTCTCGACGTCGGTTGGCTCTTCGTTGCAACCGTGACATTCTTTGAGAGAGACCCCGCTCAACTCTCCCTCCCGGAGAGAAATCAGGGTCGGGGTTGACAGACTGTTGCCTTCCTCTTCCGGTCATATTAATAGTGACCTTAGGGAATTCATCTTGATGAATTGTCGGTTTCTTCTTGTTGAAACGCCTCATATTGGGTCTTGACGTTTCATTGGAAAGCCTTTGGAATACGGAGACTCTTGTTGAATCATTTTTGGAGCATCCGCATTCTGTCAGCACCGCCTTAATGAGCCTCTCGCATGCGCAATGGGACTCATCTTCTCGGGCAATCCTTTTTCTTGAATTATTTCTCTGATAGTATAGCTCATTACTATTGTGATTTGAGCAACCTATCTGTGGTTTCTGAACCTTGTTAACATGCACAGGACGACTAGTTGTCGCCACTGAGCGATCCAATGTTAAAATTTTAAATACACCCCCATGGGGGTGTGGAGTTTTCATAGGTCCTAAACGAGAGTGAACTGGTATTCTCTCGTTCTGGACTTGTGTAATTCTGACAGGAGGGTGTTTACGACCCCCTGTGTATGAAACCACTACGGGTTTATTTACTGGACTTGGGTTTTCTTTGACTGGGGCTTTGCCTCGATCGTCAGCCGAAGGACCGAGGCGATCCGCCATTGTGATCTTGAACTCTGATAAATCTGGACTAACCCATGGTTTCACTGGTGATACATTAAACGGGCCCGGAACGGATGTTTGCGGCGCCTTCGGAACCCAAACTTTACGGTTATTTGGTGGCTTTTCAGATACCAACTCCTTCTTGATTCCTTGTGTTTGTTGACGAAGAGCGCGAGCACGGGCGGCCTTCGCCCGACGCCTTTGTATCCGTTCCTTAAGGGTTGAGCGAGCCCTTTTGACGAGGGTCCACTCCTCCGTCGTAAGTTGTGCAGAAATGTGATTATTTTGCCGTTGAGGCAACTGAGTCATTTTCTGTTTCCTCGACTCTAGGTCCGCATAGTAATGGACCCCGTCGGTTTGTTGCATGGCTTTAGCCAATTGTCGAGCACGGCGCTGGCGCTGTCTCTGACGAGCTCTCTTCGTCAACACCGATGAGCTATTGATCAACGACTCCGTAACGGGTGTAGAGTCGTTTTGAGCAGGGATGTCGCAAGGAGATTCCTTAGCAGCAGTCGGGCAGGAATCTTCGCCTGCGGTCTCCGTTGGAATTGCAGACTTGAAAGTTTTCTTAGAAGACGAAATCTTCCTATATTTGCGAGACGAGGAAGATTTCGCGGATGAGGACGACAAATACTCCTCAAACTTCGCCTGATCGAACTCGTATTCGATCTCTTCATTGACAACGATCTTGATCGGTTGCGACACCGCGGCCTCGGCAGCGAGGCCGCTGGCTCCCACTGTGGTCGCCAGCTTGTTTGCGTCAAAAGTTGCTTTCATTGATAATTCTATTGAACTTCGGTCGTTTACAACGAATTACAATGAAAAAAATAAGAAAATTACAACTCTTGAGAAGCTAACACAGAAGTCGTTTATCGAATCCTGTTTTTGTGGGACTTTGCCTTTGCCGGGAACGCTTTGGTTCGTGGACCGCCGAATCACAGATCGTGAAGGGGGTTTACTAATTCTGACTTCGTTTATCGAAGTGAGAACTTAAAACGATATCTTATCAAAGTAAGATAGTCGTTCTTCTTAAAATCAAGTCAAAGCTCAATTTCAAGGAGTCACACGAAAACTCAAATTTGCTCTCTCTACTCTGGATTGCTCGAAAATATGCTCGATCCTCGTCAGAAGTGACCCTAGGGGGTTATTTATAGCCTCAGGGGTCTGTAACTGCAAAAACTCAACAAACGACGGCATTAGTACGGCGAGACAGTGTTTACTGTCTCGGCGGGCGAGACAGTATTTGCTGTCTCGGCCCGCGAGACAGTAAACGCACTGTCTCGCTGCGAGACAGCAAACACTGTCTCGCTGGCGAGACAGCAAACACTGCCTCGCTGCGAGACAGCAAACACTGTCTCGCTGCGAGACAGCATACACTGTCTCGCTGGCGAGACAGTAAACACTGTCTCGCTGGCGAGACAGTTCATATCTGTCTTGATTTTTATCCAAAGACAGTATGAAGTGATTTTCTGATGATCTTCTCTATGTTTGGGATACCTATTAGCATTTTTTGACGCCTACAACTATGTTGAATGTCTGCGGTTTCTTTTGTTTGGAGACGTGGTTTTTTTTTCCCCTCTCGCCTTCCCTTCTAATAACGAGTTACATTAAATTGTCCTCTCTCGAGTTTATATGGTTATTAAGTTTGGATCTAATTATATGCATATCATCTTTTTTATAAAAGATATGTATGATCTTTTCAATAAGAGCGATGCTATTCAGCTCGCGCCTCGCGCGAGA